GTTCCCAAGAGATAAAACAAAAAACGATATATAGCCTATGTTAACACTTTTCTCGTTCTTAATATAGACTATATTTAGGGTCGATATGTGTTGACTTTACTTTAAAATAGCAGATCACTGTGACCGGATATAGTTTGGCTTAGTGAACATGTGTCTCTTCCTTGGAGGAGGAGCAGCATCGCCCGGACTCTGCTGCTCATCTGCGGCTCCTCCGTGCAGAGAGTCTGCAATGCAGCGGTGTGTGTCAGCGACGTGCAGTCAGGGGAGGCATGGATTGGCCATCGGGAGAGTCAGGACTTAAACGCTGCGGCTTTCTGGCTATTACTTAGCATGTGGGACCAGACAGCTTTGATCCCCATCGACAAAGGCGATTCTAGAGTCTGTGGGGGCCCCTCGAACCAAGCAAGGCAACAAAACTTAAAATTAGAATCAGCATTTTACAGCGCGCTATGCATGGGGCCGCCTTGAGGGAGTTTCCCGACATGTCGTTGTAGTCAATTAAAGGGTGTTTCATGTTGTCGTTGCTGTGGACGTTCTTAATACCTTGGAAAATGCCGTTTAATACTTTTTAATAGCCTTAATTTTCGCTAAATTGATTTATCAACTTTTAATACTTTTTAAGACCCCGCGGACACCCTGCTACATGTGCCATTATACACCAAAGTAAATTCTAGTATATGTAAACTTAATTGACATTAAATCTGATTCAGATTTTCATATTGAGACTTGATATTGTCCAGTACAAAGAAATAAGGGTAAGGCATGTGTGTGTGTGTGTGTGTGTGTGTGTGTGTGTGTGTGTGTGTGTGTGTGTGTGTGTGTGTGTGTGTGTGTGTGTGTGTGTGTGTACCTGGTTAAGTTCGGGGCTGTTCTCCCCTGCCTGTTTGTACCAGGTAACAGCAGCGTGTCTGGATCGGGGGAGACACTCCAGATAAGTGCTGTTGCCCTCAGCAACCATCATTATCCTCTGCTCCGCTTCCACCTGCAGCCCGGCTGAGTGACAGCAAAGGACAGATGTGACAGGTTAGAGATCTGCTTTATCTTCCGTGTTAATTTAGTTTGCTTTCCTTCTTGTTGCAGAAAAACATTATTTTATCAATTTATCACTGATCTTTATGTGGCTTATTCACAAAATGCATGTTCTTTGCAGGTTTTGCTCATTGTGAAGCTTGTTTTAATTCTAAGGAAGGAGGGTCTCGTATATTATGTAGTATGTAAAGCTCAGGTTTTCAATCACATAATTGTTACTTTTGGTTATATAAATAAATTGACTAGAATCATCTAAATGTATCTGTAGCTGAGGCATTATTAGAGATCAAGTATCACAGTCAATCCTTGCCAAAGGTTACACAACAGCGATTGTATTTGTTAGCATTTGTAACTGAACAAACACTTTAGAGTGAGTTAGCTCCTCACCTCCCTGTCTGACACACTGTGTGAGGGGATCCTCTTCCTCCCCTAAGTGACGAGCATTCCTTCTGTTGAGAGAAACACATCAAATTACAGTAAACAAAGAGTTACAGCCTGATAGTTGATCTTGACGCTTCAATTTTAATACACCCTGTAAGGACAAAGTGTTGGACTTGGACTTACACTGACATTAGTAAGAAGGTTTAATTCACTTGGGAGCATCCATTTGCTCAGCTTGGAAGTGGAAATGTTGGCTAATAAGTAATAATGGTGGCAATGGTGGAAAGGGCGTCATCATCAAAATATTATCATTGGGAACTTTCATGGAAATATATCCAACTGTCATACTTGGAAATGGAAAAGTGTTGGTCAAGTGGAAAAAATGCCTAACATTTAATCAGAAAGTAGTTTGGATGTGAATTTGAGTCACATTCTAGAGACTATCAACAAATGTGGTTTGAATTTGATTGGGAGAGATTGACTCCATGTGTCTGCTTTTTCAGACATTAGTGGGATAAAAACATATCTTACATATTCCAATAAGTGCTGTTTGGAAGGACAGATCTAACCTGCGCACGGTGGGCATGTAGGGGCTGCAGGCGTGTCCGTCCCAGGTGCAGTATGGGTCTCTGGCGAGGCAGCACTCAGCACAGGCCTGACCGTACAGCTCACACTGGTACAGGGCCAGCTGGGAAACACCCTCCCTGGAGCCCACAAACAACCACTGCTGGAGGAGGAGGAAGCGAGAGGGGGGGATGATATATAGGAATACAGATGTACAAAAAAACAGTGGACATGGATGGTGGAAGAGAAGACGGAGAGAGGAAAGGGAAAAAATAAGTAAGAAAGAAGAGGAAAGTTATAAATGAAGAAGAGCCCAGGGAGAAAGAGGGCATTCAGTTTGCTCCTGTGAAACAGAGAGAAGCATTGACTATCAAGCTCAACCAGATACATCTGCACTGCGAGTCACACATCCATCTCACGCTGTAACAATGTCAGTGTGTGGCCACGGAGTGTGTGTGTGTGTGTGTGTGTGTGTGTGTGTGTGTGTGTGTGTGTGTGTGTGTGTGTGTGTGTGTGTGTGTGATGTAGTTTGGAAATTTTAAAGTTTCTGTCTCTCTCGAATCTGTTACCTTTTTCTTTGAGAGCGTCATGGCTGTCACGGGTGATTTGTGCTGCGAGGAAAAGACAAAGAAAATCGAGTTTAAATTGAGACAAAGACAGAAATACACTGGCTCGAAGAAACAGAAAGACAGACACACAGAGATAAATGTCAACTAAAATATTGAATTTGTTTCTATGGAAAAATAAGGAATTTGTGTGTTTGGGTGCGCCTGCAAACCACAATAATGTTAAACAGTCTTACATTATTTACAGAACTGATCTCATCTTCTGGTTATCATCCATTTCCCTTTATAAGGGCTTAACAAAGCACGAGCTTCACAGGGAAGAGCATTAAAAAGAACCTCAGACCTCACTTAGACAAAGAAATCAGTCGAGAGTGAAAACAGAGCCTTTATTTGAGCCTCCGGTGGACATAATATTGAGCAGAACTGTGAATATTGTGAACTGTGGTTACAGGAATGATAATCTACTATAGTCTGACAAGATATCTATGTGCAAAACAAGGTTGTTTTATGTAAAATGTGTTACAGTCTTGGTGCTTTAGATAAAAGCTTTTCCTTTTTTCCCTGTTTAATGGTATATATGGGTGAAGATTTAGGTCTGATAAACATAACAAAAAACATTATTTCTTCATAAATCATGCATGCTTTACTATATTTCAGATAATTTGCAACGTGAGCATTGATGTCAAAGTGCTTCAGACTGTTGAAGCTATTGGTTTCCATTCATATGCATATCATATGAACAGCAGATCGTTTTTAGCATAGAACACAATGTTTGCATTTATTTCGGTCGCATGGCAATGCAGTCTAATGTGCAGACTTATTTAAAAAGTCTGTGCTGCATTACCTCTTGACAATAACGTAACTGTTTAAGCTTGAAGAGTCTGATACTTGAGTTTTAAACCACAAGGAAATGGTTAGAAAATTGCTGCATGAAAGCCAGGAAAAAAACATTTAGAAAGCAGTTTATAATAAATGGGTTGGAACATACACAATGGTATGGAGATAGCACTGTGTTTTGTTCAGAGGGGGCTGTACCTGGAAGACCTGCATCTGCTCCAGAGTGACCTCCTGACCCTGTCCGTGTTCTCTGGGGAGATGGATAGCCTTCAGCACGAGGCCCGAGTCTGCAGAAGTATACAAAATTATCTTATCCATTGTGAAAAAAACACACACATTAGGAGTAAAAATGCAGGGTAAAGGTCCAGCAAAGACAATTTACCCGTGCCGATGAACAGGACGTCGTAGGTGCCGTCCACGGCCTCCACTCTGTCCACCAGCAGTTTGCTGAATTTGTAGTGAACACCCACTCTGACCAGGAGGGGGCGCTCTCCCAGAGGCAGCACATTTTCCTGAAACACAGTCACAGTTAAGGGTTTTCAATTTTAAAATGCAAAACATGTGGACGAACAATGGGGTTTGTTTTATAAAGTTTTTGTCATATTTAACAACGCTAATTGCATTTCTAAATTCCACATATGAATTGGGACAAATAAAAGAGATTTGAGGCGATGCAAAACTAGAGTGCAATCTAATTGAATAACATTGTTGTAATTTAAAACAGTGAACTATCATTTGTACCTGCAGCAGGGGGTGAGTCCTGCTGAAGAAGATGACGTCGTCAGGATATTCTCTGGTGGAGCTGTAACTTCCATAAGTGCTGCTGGGACACTACGAGAAGAAAGAAGAAAGTAAAAGAGAGAGAAACACAAGGTTAAACATGTGTGGAAGACATGGAGTTTTTGTATTCATGCCTGAAGGAGTAACTTACAGTTCCTGGTCGCGGGTAAGGCACCTTGCCCGTAAACTCTGCCCACTTATACTGAGGCCCCTCCTTATGAAGGAAGTTTCCTTTGAAAGCCCGAACAACATCCTCCATCCGGTAGACGCACACTGCTGAACCATTCAGGATATCACTGCGGAGACATGAGAGAAGGGGAACTGTTAGTCCCTGCGGCGCACATGAATAAAAACATAAACTGAGCAGGTCTTTTATGAATTCACTTGAGCAGTTACCGTGGTCGTAAAGCAGTGCATTAAATAGGAGAGTGATGTAGTGTGTGCACTGCATGGAAGCTGTGAGTCATTGTGGCTTTCTCAGCCTGAACGCATCAATTCACTGAGCACGGTCCAACCCAAAGTCCAGCCTGGATGAATGCGCTGCTTTCAGCACATCATGGTTAGGATTTTTGCCTAAGTGTATCTGAACCACAGAAGGCAGTTGATGAGCAGAGCTGCTAGAAACAGAGCAGGGAGAAAGGCAGGGCTGTGATCATGTGACTGACACATATGGTTTGTTTAGTCTCATGTTGCTCTGGAGAGAGTGTGTAAAAGTACTTGGCAATAAACTGGATTCTGATTCTGAAACAAACCACATACTGCATGTGATAGATGGTCAATCAAATGAAGAAATACAAAAACTAAATGATACAAGTAACACTGAGGGATCTGCAGCCTGTGCTCTTAACTTCCTCACAGGGACACAAACGCCTGTGTGTGCATTCATGGTTGAGCAGAGGGAGAGGTTTCCATTCAGAGGGGATGACCTCTCTGCATCCTGCAGCTCTGTGGAGGGGACCCCACCCTGGGTGATGCTTTGGATTTCTGTCCGTTCCCCGCTGAGATTTCAGACACTTTCCAAAAGCCAGAAGTGGACCCACTCCCTGCTCCGCCGGCCAAGTGGCGTCATACCTCTGTTGCTACTGTGGAGCCCTGGCTGCAGCTCTGAGTTGCTGTCAGTGCGTGAGGAGCTTCAGTACGTTTGGAAGAAATGAGAAGGCTTTCTTAGTTTGTTGCTCACTCGCTCATATGTTCTGGATTTTCCTCACTTTATAATACCTACCCCTTTTTTCAACCTTAGTTGAAAGAAGCTTAGTTTTCAGTATATTTCTTTTTTGAGTGTGAGACATTTTTCGAACTAACTGGCTTCTATGGTGCAGTCTGATGTGCTTGCGTCATTGCTGTGAGCCAAAAACAATATTTGTTCTTCCTATTTGTTATGATTACCATTTTGTAGATACTAACAGAAATGATATTGTCTATAGTCTCTAATCAAATCAGTGCTGCTTTCATATTTTCAACGTTTTGTTCAGGCATGTTTTTTAATAAAGAGGCAGTTGCACAGCCTGTTGTTTATCTGGTCTGATAGAGCATATTGCATTTTGAAATTTCTATTCCTGTGTTTCTCTTCATGTTTCCTCCTCAAACAATCCCAGAGAGAAAGGAACAAAGGGAGAACAAAGCGAATCCAATGGCTAGAAAAAAACATTTCATGCTACATTATCTCACACACTGTACGTACTTTGTGCATTACAGTCGATACACTAATGATGATGATGAGAGGACGAAGGCTCACATGAGCTCATTACAATGAATTTGTTTCATTCATTAGTCACAGGGACGGTGGACTGTGTGTCTCTCCCAGTGTGTGACATCATCTCTGTCAGTGTGACATCGCATCATGTCACTATGTGAGCTACTTCTCCATACAACATACACCTGTTTTATAGAAAAACAGTTTCTTTGTTTCTTGTATCAACTTTTTCCTCTTTTAAAATAGCATGTTTTAGTATCCTCCATAAACATTTCATCTTTCTGTCGGGTTCTGGATTATTGATCAGGTTTCAGGTCAGTTGTGGCAAATCTTCACTGCATGAATCCTGACTAACTTAAACGTCATGTATTGTCTTTAACAGTTTCAGTCCCCATGATCAATAATTGATTTCTAACTCAAAACAAAAACAAAATGTGTATCACATTTACACCTAAGGGGGCTGTAGTAACTCACCTAGAGCTAAATGCCTTCTTTAAACTCAAGAGTATTTCCTTTTTCAATCAAAGTGAAATGGGATTTGCTGCTCTATACCACATCCCAGCTCAGCCTCAATGTATCTATAGGGGTTGTAGGGTGGCTTGTTTATTTTTGTTACACGTGTTTAACAGCAATCAATACATCAAATGCTCTCACAAAAAAAGAAACAATCTGTTATTCACAGCTGTTGCAGGATTGTAATACTTCTGCCCAATCATTTTATTTATCCTGATCCTTCTCATAATAGTTATTTTGGCTCTCAGTGTTTCCATCTATTTTCTCGCTTGGTTTAGCAACATTTGAGCCAGTGCTTGGAAAAGCTTTGGCAACATTAGGCTGTTTTTTAAGTTTGATCATCTTTTTCCAATCTTAACCACCCTGGGTTAAATCAATGTGTCAATGTATTTCTTTCCCAACTATGAGCAATCTCTGTAGGAATGAAAACTCTCCACCCAGAGGAAATTCACTTAAAAATTAACTTAAACTTAAATTCAAGACACTCCCAGTGCCATCATACTGGGACTCAAACAAGAGTGCACAAAACGCTGTTTAATTGATCTAGAGCAGGGGTCTCCAACCTTTTTTAGGATGAGAGGTACTTTCAAAAAATAAAACAAGTCGTGAGCTACTTGTATTCCTCTTTTTTTTGCTTTTTGCAGTGTATATATTTAGCACATTTTAACATTATGATATGCTTACCTTTAACCTTTGTGTGCTGTTTGGGTTTGTGGGACCCGTTTTCAGTGTTTACTAAAAGAAAATGTATGCAATTTAATTATTTGAACCTGCTTTATTATCTGGTCCTCACCTCCTGGAATGATTTCTTACTTTATTTTTTAACAATTATTATTAAATAGATAAACTCTCTCTCGCTCTCTTTCTCTCTCTCTCTCTCAAAAGTGGGGGGACACAAACGGGATTTCGAAAAGTGGGGGGGACATGTCCCCCCTGTCCCTAGTGGAAATTACGCCATGCGTGTGTGCGTCAAGTGCAATAAATATATATGCAAGTTGCAACACACACACACAGTAAAACTCTGCCCCTCATGTGCAGTATAGGCTGGCACGACTAGGCCGTTCAATGGGGCTGATGTGTTGTGTAGATTCTGCCAGAAGGAAAGGTCTAACTCTTTATGAAGTGGTGAGCTGCCGCTCCACATTGCTTTTCTTCCCGACTGCAACGCTAGTCCCGCAAATCAAGCAAGAACGTGATTGGTCGATATTCATTGTGGGGGTGGGGGGAGGAGTATGATTGAGGTTTCGTTTATGGGTAGATTATTTTAATTACATTTCCTTTTTTTTGTGTATTTTTACCATTTTGGATTTGCTTGGTGAGCTACTTATTATTGAGAGCTTGCGAGCTACCAGTAGCTCGCGATCGACGTGTTGGAGACCCCTGATCTAAAGTATATTCTATTGTTTTCTGCTTTACATTTGGTACAAACCTGGAAGTGGTGAACAGGCCATAGATGAGCGGGTTCTTCTTGTCTTTGGCCTGGAGGATAAAGATGTCTTCTGCATTGAGAGAACGGAGGAAGGGATCGGGAAGAGGAAGGACACAAAGAGGTAACACATTAGTAAAGCATTCAAACTAATGAAGAAGTTTTGAGAAGAGTCACACCTGTATGAGGGTGTGTGACGTGTGCATCTATCAGTGTGACTGTGTGACTAATAGCGCTGGGCGTGCTGGCAGCATGGCTGACTGACTGCTGGAAATGAACCTGTAGCCATTAACTACAGGCCGCTGTGGGAGAGATGAGCACGGGGTCCGCCACAGGAGAACAACACCTGCTGTCTCACACACAAACACACACACACACACACACACACACACACACACACACACACACACACACACACACGCACACACACAGCCGNAGCTCCGCTGTGACGGACCGGTGAGTGGACCAAAATACACTAAGAGTTAGACCTAACACACTTAGAACTAGTTTAGCTTGTTCCAGAGTAGATTTACTAGCTAAGTGTGTTAGGTCTAACTCTTAGTGTATTTTGGTCCACTCACCGGTCCGTCACAGCGGAGCTGTGATCATGCAGAGCTGCATGTTCTCCGTCAGCAGCAGCTGATCTGATCTCTGATCTCTCTCTCGCGTCCGGTTATACTTTACCCGCGTTTTTGTCCAAATCTATCAGATCTAGCTAGTTCTAGCTAATGATATGACTGCCTGCTTATCAAAGGACACCTAAACAATAAGCGTTGCTTGCCAACGGCGTGTGGCCGCAAAGTATAGCACAGCATTATGCATATGTTTATATGAGGGGTCAAAATCCCATGCTCATAAAATGCTCATATCTTTTTTTCTCTTCATTCCCCACGCCCCAAAATAAATAAATATACAAATTTTAGGAAAAGTAACGAAGTTTGAGCAGTGTGTGTTTTATATGAACAGAGTTACACATATTTCAAAACGCTAAGTGTAATAACTGCAGTTTGCCTCCCTGTCAGAATGGCAAAGGTCCTCAGGTAAGCACAAGCCCATGTTTCTCACTACATTGTAAGTACAACTTATTAAAAGGTCAGTTCAATGCAACTAATGTCGTCTTAGTGTTATTGCATGATGTTAAAATTGGTTTGCCATTAATTTAGTGATGGATTGTAAACCTTTGAAATGTAGCATTTAAGGTTTTCTCAGTTACAAGGTTGTTGTTTTAATAAATCAGACACTGATGGTGCAGCGCTGTACTGTACCTCTTTATACAGGCATTTTGTCCCTAACAAATTGTTTTTGCGCTGATCAGGGGGTACTTGGCGGAATATTTTTTTCAAACTGGGTACATTATTGAAAAAAGTTTGAGAACCACTGTCTTAGAGCCTACAGCCTGCATGTATGTTTTGGGTACGTCACAAGCAATCCTGTAGAAATAATCTACATTTTCACCTTCATTATTACAATCAGCCTTTCACTGATACTCCATTAAACATTCTGGAGCGTTTCTTTGTCTAGTGGGATAGCGTCGTGCACTCTCTCCCTGTTCTCTTTGAGTACCATCTGTCTGGATCTGACTAGCCTCAACATTCTCCTCACTATAGGACTGTACACCCACATTAGGCACTCTCTGACTCTGGTTCACCATTTTTGTCCCTGCTGGTGTTGTGGGAATAGTTTCTCCATAAGTGTCATCATCCATATGATGATTTGTCTGAGTCTGACTATCTGCGCTACTCTTTGTGATACATTTTACCAGCCTATGTTTCAGGACTTTCCCTGTCTCAGGATAAAATACTTGGAATGCTGGGCTATATTTGTCGTATCCTACAAAAATACCCTTTGCACACCTAGAATCTAGCTTCTTCTTATCCTGCTTATACCCATAGCATTCAGAGCCAAATATTTTCATGTTGGACAAGTTGTTTGTTTTGCCAGTAAAAACACGGTATGGTGTCTGCTCTAGACGCTTACAGTAACACCTGTTACGTATCTGTGCTGCTGTTTGTACAGCATATGTCCATAACTGCTTTGGGAGGTTACTCTCTAATAGCATGCATCGTTACATCTCAAATAAGGTCCTCCAACCTCTCTCGGCAGTACCATTCTGGTGAGGTGAGTATGGGGCACTTGTCTCGTGCCTTATCCCTTTCGTCCTAAGTGAAGTTTGAAACTCATGCCCGGTAAATTCAGTACCGTTGTCAGATCTTATGCACTTAATGTGTCCATAAGGAGCAGTATCCGCTATGAATTTTTCAGTAGCTTTTGCTGTATCACTCTTTGCTTTGATAAAGTAGGGAAAAATCATCCCACTATAATCATCAGTAAATGCTATTGCATATCTGTACCCGTCTTTATCTGCTGGTTCTATTGGACCGCATAGGTCTGTATGTACTAGCTCTAGTACTGTCTTAACTTTTGTATCTACCTGCCTGTTTCTGCTTTGAGTAAATTTTTCCTGCGTACATATTTCACAGTTATGGTTAGACATGTCATGTTTCCCTTTGATCGACATACCTTTAACCACTTTCTCAAGTTTAGACACATCCTCAAAACACTAATGTTACCTTTCGTAATTGAGGATCCATGGTGGCGCCGAGCGGACTCATACTGCTTAGGGTTTTTCAATAAACTTTCTATTTTAAAATTTATTTCCCCCCTTGAGGTATCACACTGCGGTGGTCGATAGATCAAGATTCCCAATATCGAACGCGTAAACTTGAGGATTACTGACCAACCTGTACTTCCCTTGCTGAAGGATACGGACGGCCCTTATAGGCGTCCCCTCTCCCCCCTTCCTTCTACTCTTAAGTATTCGGTAAAGTTACGGTGTTCGTTCAGGCTCAACAAATTTGAAAAACTTATATAAAAAACCCCTTAAAGTCAAAATAACCTATTATCTCTAGTGACTTGTTGGTGCGTCTCTCCTCTCTCCGCGGCGCTCTACTATCACGTGTTTTCCGGTCGGCCTTACCACACTTTGCACCAAGCTAGTCCATTTCCCGTGAACCATTGGGTCAATATACCACTTACTCAACGTTAAATGGAAACCTTACATTACGGTTGTCACGTAACCATTTCTGACTTTTTTGTCCGGGGTCCAATTTCGAACTGTACTAACTAGAACATTGAATTCTTTTCCAAACAGGAGGCACACAGAATAAGGAATAGAAAGAAAGTCGCACTTGGATATGGTTACCAACATGTACTGTCTCTGGGGAAGAGGTGGAGAGCGACAGGGTGATCTCAGTTAGGAAGACTAAGACTACGGAAGAGGATTTATCACCCATCGAAAATTTTCAAGTCACATGCAATTTAAATCGTTTGAACTGACGAGTAATAGACGACAACTTCATGCCTTAGGATGGGTCAACGTCCACTAAAATATTTTGAGTACGACTCTCAACCTAAGGGTTGAGTTCGTTATAAAAAGCAAAGGTTACACATGTTGTGTAGAATTGTAGGTACGGTGTCCTTCCTGTTAGTAGTATCTTCTTTAGCCTGGAATAAGATAAGAAATATGTTGTCGTAGTAACCCTGACGAGTAACTACAGTAGTTCTCGGTCACTCTAGATTGGAAAACCCATCAGCCGAGGAGTCTTTACAGTAGTAGATTGGGATATTAGTAAACAAAAATACCAAACATTACGCAAAACGAGGAAATAAACAACACTCTCAGCTGAACGTTAACAAATTCACTAGGCGTTATCAATGATGATTATGATAACAACAATGGTTAGTACATACTAAAATTGTTACAAAGAAATTAAATAGCGACGTCTTTCCTAGTACGGTCGGGTGTAGTTTGTGGACTAGTTCTCTGAACACTACAATTGTGCAGTCTTTCCGACTTTCGTCTGTGGCTCCACTAGTTTGCTTACTGGTCAATGCGACGTGTACGTTGGTACTGCACACGAGGACAGGTATGTACGCTAAAGTCTCTCATGACCTGGGTTACTTGACATCGGTGTGTGTTCAGTGGTCCGTCTGACTGCTCTTGGCTACTTCAGGTGTTCAGAAGCGGTCAAGCCCTGAGATACTGCTAGGTGTGAGAAGTCCGTCTACTGCGTTCTGGGATTCTTAGACGGGTGTACAGTGGTCAGAGGACACCTTGTCGAGGTTACTGAGAACTAGGTGTACAGATAGTCAGTCGAAGACCTGGTTGTACGTGAGCAAGGTGTGCAGGACTGTCATGTCTTTGAAACAATCCCTGTGATATTAGACGGGTGTACAGAGTCAGTCAAAGACCTAGAGTTTGATACTCGATACTAATGTGTACATAAAGTCAGTCAAGGCCGTGTTGATTCTGAGACTGGTGTTACCAGAAGCATGTCCAGATCTGGTGAATCGTACTGTGGTTTGCACAAGGTGTGCATGAATCAGTATTCAGGACCTAGCTGCGGATACTGAGACAGGTGTACACGTAAGTTCATGTCAAGACCTAGTGTACTGAGGACAGTGTACAGAAGTCAGTCAGACCTGGAGATTAGTATCTGTCACAATGGTGTCTGTGGTCAGTCTATGACCTTCCGGATACTCGTACCAGGTGTCTGCGGAAGTCTGTCAGCCTTTGTGATGCGTCATGTAGATCAACGTGTACATGAAGTCAGTCCGCTTGTATACTGACGAGGTGTACAGTATGGTCAGTCAGGACTTGACATCTGAGACAAAGATGATAGAAGTTAGTGATAGACCTGGGATACTAAGACAAGGTGTAAGACTTGTGTTATGGTCAGTCAAAACCAATGAGTGATAAATGGCAAGTGTGCTATACAGAATGTCAGTCGAAGAGCCTGGATCTGTTGCATGTGTACGAGTGCTGGTCAGGACCTGGGATCTGGGACAAAGTGTACAGTAATGTAAGTTAGGCTTTATGGCATGACTGAGTCATAGGTGTACAGAAGTCGGTCAAGCCTGGGATACTGAGACAAGGTGTAGCTAGAAGGTCGTCAGGACCTGGATCCTAAGACCAGGTGTACAATAGTCAGTCATGACCTGGGAACTGAGACAGTGTGTACGAAGTCGTCATGACTATTATGGTACTGATGACAAGGGTGTACATCAAGCATC